AGAATTTTGAAAAATTTGAGTGCTGTTTGAGGATCGCGAAATACTTACAATTAGGTTATTTACCAATTTGACAAAAAAAACGGTTTCGAGATTTTTTTTTAAAACAAATTTGAATTTTTGTGAAAAATATCAATTCTATTGGAAATTAATTGAATATTCAATATTTTATACATAATTAAACCATTAGCCCATCAAACTCGATTATTTTTTGAGGAATATTTTGTATAGAAAATTTTAAATTAATTGAATATTCAATATTTCATACATAGAAAATTAGTCCAGTGAATAATTTATAAATAAATCATACAATTCCCCCAAAAATTATTAAAATATTTAAACATGCCATTATAGTCTTTGTATAAATCTTCTTACAAATTATGAAATCTCTATACTAAATAAATAGTCACTTAATTAACTCAATAATAATCTGCATCAATAGTTCATTAATAGTGTTTACTTTCAATTGTTAGATTGTTTTTTATTTGGGTTTTTGCTGTGATATATGTATTTTAAAAATTAGCACGAAGCTAAAAATATTGAATATTTAAAAACCGTTCGAAAGATTCCAGTTGTATCCTGCTGATAAATTTTTAATAAAAATTTAATAAAAAAAATTTGTAATGAGATTCTTGCAAATTATGAAACCTGTATATTAAAAAAAATTGTCACTTTATTAACTCAATAATAATCTGCATCAATTCAGTTCATTAATAGTGTTTCAATTGTTAGATTGTTCTTTTTTTTAGGTTTTTCCTGTGAATCTTATATGTATTTTAAAAGTTAGTACGAAGCTAAAAATATTGAATATTTAAAAACCGTTCGAAAGATACCAGTTGGATCCTGCTGATAAGTTTTTAATAAAAATTTAATAAAAAAAAAATTGTTGACGATTTTAATGAAAATGCATGATAATAGTGTTCACAGTATTAACGAATGCCCTAAAATATTATACAAAAAGTCGATTAATTATAAAAGCACACTAAATGTGTGTCATCATTCAGCAGTTCGTACGTAACAAAATAAATAATTGCTCATATTTATTTAATTTTTTAATTCGACGAATTGGTTGATTTATTATTATATCAAATACGTTTCACAGTCGAAAAACAGCCAAGATATAAATATATATGTATAAGCAATCGCCTGTAGCATCAAAATACAGAAAACGATAAGACTTGCTAGACATTTATGTCAATGGTATTTATCAAAGAATGATAAAACTTACATTTTGTATATTGTAATTTCATAACAAAGGAATTGTTTTCGATAACAATAAATATCAAACTACGCAAAACATAAATTTTTTCGGGCCTGCCTGCCCGCAACATATTTAATTTTTCTTATTAGAAACGTTTACAGTTTTTATTTGAACACTAATGAGAACTTTAAAGTCTTATATTATAGGCTGTTGTGATGTTTAACTTTAACTCCATGGCTTTTTAGAAGGCGTCCCAAGACTTAGATATGCTGGCCTTAGTTTGTTAGATATATTTTTATTATTAGATTTTCTTCTAATACTGATAGCTTTTTAATTTAATGATGGTAATGGTTAGAGCTTTGTGCTTCAGACTGCCTGAGATCAAGCAGTAGTTACATCGGTTTATTTGGAAATATAGATGGAAATAACAATTATTATGAAAATAACAATTTCCCAACATCGCTGCATCAATTTAAAAATCTTCAGTATTAGAGAAATTATTGTAATATCTTTTTTTTATTCTCTTTGTTGAATTACAATCTGTCTTTACAAAAAGGAAGATATTCAGTAATTTTGATGATATATGAAATATTAAACATTACATCTAAAAGGTTACCCAGTAGTAAGCCTTTTCAATTTTGATATATTAAATTTAAATTTTGTGATTATATAGAGGAAATTATTGTAATATATATAGGAAATAGAGATCGGCCAATTGGATAGGCTTCTAAAAAGGCATTTAGTAAAGCAAAATTGTCACAACAGCCTATAGGATTGTTCTGATAAATTCTGATCGCTGTTCAAATAAATAAATAAAATATTATTTATTATAATATTCTAAAGGAGAGTAGGAAGAAAATTGATACAGTTTGGTTTGAAATATATTGAACAACCTTGACTATTTGAAACTCTTTTGAAAACTCGTGAAAAATATTCAGAAAATCCGGAAGCTTTCCAGTGATTTACAAATTCAAAAGGATGATTATCAAATAATTTATTTTGATAATTATAGCGATAATATATATGTTTTTATTATAATAATCGTATTACACTAAAAAATAAGCCACGGTTTAAATAACACGTCAAAAAAAATATTTTGATAATTCAAATCGTATATTTAAAATTTTATATTAGTGTGATATCCGACTTTAATTTGTAAGTGTGCAAATATATAAAGTAACATGTAAACAAATAAACATTGACATACATTTTATTCGATACAAACTGTCATGTATTATCATTGATCGAAAACGTTTAATGGATAACTTCTTATGCTTTTATATATTTTTAGAAAAAGTAACAATCCTTTGAAAGTAATACAAAATATCAAAAAACATTCATTCCGAGCATTTATAATTTGAATATATATGTTCAAATCAGAAAAACATATGCAAAAAAGCAAACAAAAAACTTTATTTTATAATATATTAGAAAAGTACCAAATCATAAATTTAAAAAAAACGAAAAATTGAAAGTAAAGTTCTATAAAAAGTTATATTTCATTTTCCTTAGTTAAGAAAAAAAAAGATTTTTTGTGTGTGTGTTCTTGATATTTTTTTTATAAAATTTATTATGTGATCATATTGTTATCTTTAATAAAGTATTTTTTGGGCTTCTTTATGCCAAACAATAACATATTTGATATTAAATAATACATCCTTTGATAATTTTCTATTTTTTATTGTAACTATTGCATTTCCAACTCAACCTGGACTTAACGTCCTTGAAAATTAATAAAAGTTATATTCATTTTCCTTGATTACGAAAATGAGATTTTATGTGTGTTTGTGTTCTTGGTATTTTTTTATAATATTTATTTTGTGAAACGTATTTTACGATCATATTGTTTTCTTTATTTAAGTACTTTTTGAGCATCTTTATGATAAAATTAAATAACACATATTTAATATTGTATAATACATTCTTTGATAACTTTCTATTTTTTATTGCAAGAAATTTTTCAACTCAACCTGAACGTTAAATTGCAAGGGTTTACGTTCTTATTTGGTATCGTGTAAAATGTATTAGCTGAAAATTTTATGTTGAATTTATTTTAAAACACATAATTTTTATTAAATTGGTAGAAGGTTCGTAATCAATATAAATATTACCGTACGATTTATTTTTTAATTTCCCGTAGGGTAAGTTATAGTAATCGCAAAAAAATCGAAAATGAATTTTTTTATATATCTTTACGTTTCAAAACCTTCTGAACATTTTGGCATACCTTAGAAAATGGATGTATGTGTGTGTGTGTGTGGATACAAATTTTCATCGACGATTTCGGGAACACTGATTAACCGATTTGAATAATTCAAAAACATTCTTTTCGTATTGATAAAGAGACGTGCTGATTAGTTTTTGGCAAAGCAGGTCTAGCCGTTCCGAAGTTACGGGGTAAAAAGTGCCAAAAACGGTGATTCAGTTTTTAAGAGAACGGAGCGTCCGGTTTTAATAATGCAAAAAACATTTTACTTGTATTGACAACATGAAGATCTGATTAAAGTTTTGGGAAGGCAGGTTCAGCGGTTATGGACGCTTAATAAAAATAAGTAAAAAATTTCATTTGGCGGTCAACAATGTTTATTGCACATATGTACATCAAATTATCAGATATTTTATAGAGATTTTAATAATGTGTACATATTTTGTGTAAGGCACGATGCCATGCACCCCACTAGTTGTTTTTTCTTCTGTACAGCGAAGGAAATTCCTTTATGCATCCCAGACGTGTCTTTTGTCTGGATATGTCGGACACAATACCGCCTTGGTATAATACTACCTGCTAAAACCTCCGCTTTGCTTGCCCTTGCATCTAGTCTTTGCCTTTATTTTTTGGGTGGATGTACTCGTATGTATAAAAAATATCCCTGTAGAGAATACAGTCTACTCTCTCTGATAAATGGATAATGAAAATACAAGAAATAAATCTGTTTATACATAAATAGAAAATAATGATTATAATATAAACGTTTAATTATTTGTTCTGGCCACTTTATGAAGTTCAAATTATCAATCATCAATATATAAATATGCTAATCACAAACTTGTGCAAATTAAAAATACTATTTTTTTAATCATGATAACCATGTGCCTTAAGGCAAATTGCTGGAACTTCCCGTACCGTAATTAAAAATCTTGGTACGGAACCCAAAAAAATGTACACAAAATGTGTACACATTATTAAAATCTCAATAAAATATCTGATAATTTGATGTACATATGTCCAATAAACATTTTTGACTGCCAAATGATGATTTTTTTAGCTTATTTTGATTGAGAGTACATAACCGCTGGACCTGCCTTTTCAAAAATTTAATCAGTTCTTCATCTTGTGAAGAGAAGTAAAATGTATTTTACTTTTTGTCCCGTGTCTTCGAAACGGCTAGACCTGCTTATGCCAAAAACTAATCAGCACGTCTCCTTATCAATACGAATTGAATGTTTTTTTAATTATCCAAATCGGCAAAAATTTGTATCCGCACACGCACACACACACACACACACATACATCCATTTTTTCTAAGGTATGCCAAGATACTAAAAAACCTTTGAAACGTAAAGACATATAAAGATTTTCATTTTCGATTTTTTTGCGATTACTATAACTTGTCCTACGGGAAGTTAGAAATTGATATTTATCAAAAATGATTCGAAAGTATTTTCCGAACCATCCATTATATACATAGTCCGACTCGCTTGTCATACGTTGTTTTGCGAGGTTTAGCGCAACTGTTCAAGCGTCAGCTGTTGTTTAGATACGATAGTTCAATATTTCTGACATTTGGTAGTTTGTAGTGCTGAAAGACTTAATTAACAACTAAGAATATTTTAAAAATAGTGCAAAATTAAATTATTCAATTTATAAATTATTATTCTATGTGAATTATCCAAGTGTTACAGAATATTTAGTGTTTTTTTTTATAAACGGACTCATGAACCTTGCAAGCCATTCAAATGCAGATAATGCAAATCATGGAGGATATTTTATTAATTTCAATCAGGATTGCACGTACGTATATCGCCAATATTAAGGTAAAAAACAGAAAACATATTTTAAATGTTTTCAATAACGCGAACGCTTGACAGTTCACATGTTTGGTCGTGATGATTTGACGTTTCTCAAAATTATTTATTACTGTATCGCTAATCACTTTCGATTATTGTCAAATCAGTATCCATAAGTATGAAAAATCATGTCAATATGTTACAATTTCGTAATTTTGATTTAATAAAGTTTTATGACGTCATGAAGTAAAAGTAACTTATGTCAAGGCTATCGTGAATTTATTTTTATTAATCAAATTTTTAAGGAATATTAGATACTTTTTTGTTGCATCATGCAACATCGCGAAAAAAAATCAGCTGTTTTTGACATTAATCGAATATTCGATTGTTCAAGGACTAATGAAGTCCTTGTAAAATTATTCAACAGCTGGAGAATTGTGCATATTGAACTGGTTTATTGCACAAAAATGCAGTTTATTACATAGCACAATGTATGAACTCAGTTAAATAATATATGTATATTCTATTCTTATATTATTAGTATAATAATATATGATTTATTATCTGGAGTACAACTGATTGCTTTGAATTATTGTTTATGATTAACAGCTTTTAGCATCAACAAATCTCAATTGCTATGACTCATATGTTTGATTTTTTTAATTACTGTTATTCCATCTTTGCTATTTTAAAAAATATGCTATTAATTTTCCAAAATAAATTTTTATTTTATATTTATATTATACAATATGAAGATTTATTTTGAAGTTTATTATTATTATTTTTAGTTTGTGTTTGGCCCTTTATATACCCTGTTAAAGGATCAGTGTGATCATATATATTACATCAGATTTGAATAAAAATTATGAAAAATTGCTTTACATTTGTAAATTATTCAAAAGAGAATGCATTATTCTCGTATGAATAGTATATTAACTTCAGAACCAATATTTGTTTATACCTCTGTGCTATATTATGCTTCTTTACGCTTATGTTGTTGCAGAAACAATTGGGTTAAAGCTCTGATAGATAAAGCTGAAAATTGATGATTTGAGAAATAATTGAAAATTTAGAGAAATAAGAATGATATAGAAGTTGCTGTTTCGCGAAAGGAAATTTGGAAAAGTTTTGGGAAAAAGAAGTTCTGTATAGCTTTTGTCAATCAAATATTATTTATCTTCTGTTGCATATCCATTATATGTATTAGTTCATTTGTAATATTTCATATGTAGATATTTAGTTATTGAGTAAGTTTTATGATTTATTATGATTTAAAAAATCCTTCATGAATTTTTAATGGATTATATTACTAAGTTTTTTTTAAATACTTTGCATATATAGCTCATTGGCTGTCGGAACTCCAGACGGTCACAAGTTATTCTCATTGAACTCTGTAGACCATTTGGAAGAAATCTATAGGAGTCATGGAGAAGATATATGTATTGTTGAAAGACTGTTCAGTTCCAGTCTCATGGCAGTGGTTTCTGTTGCTGCACCTAGAAAACTCAAAGTCCGTCATTTCAAAAAGGGAACCGAAATTTGTAACTATAGTTACAGTAACACCATATTGGCTGTAAAATTGAATCGAGCGGTAAATATCAGTAAAGAAAAAAAGATTAAATTACCATGATAAATATAAAAAAAGGTTAAGGATTTTGTGTTATACAGTTTTATTCATCCTTCTGTATAAAAATATAAACTTTGGTTGATTTCAACCAATGCCTATATATTCAATAGGATTTTAATACTTTACTCGATTCCAAAACTTTCGCAAATAATAAGAGAGTCTGTAGACATTTCTGTCAATGCCCAGAATTCTTTAGAATATAAAGTATTAATAGTAGTTGGTATTAAATAACATTTGAAGCTGATGAAAAAAATTCAAAAATATAATTCGTTTTTGATAAGATAAATACCTGACTGCAAAAAGTTAATAAAATTGTTTATATTCAGAGGTTAGTGGTATGCTTAGAAGAGAGTCTGTATATTCACAATATACGAGATATGAAAGTGCTGCATACAATAAGGGATACACCCCCAAATCCAAATGGATTATGCAGCCTCTCTACAAGTTCCGACCATTGTTACTTAGCTTATCCCGGGTCAAGCACAATCGGGGAAGTTCAAATATTTGATGCAATTAACTTAGTGAGTTTGATTGAAATATTTTAAGAAACTCTTTTTGATCTAAATGATAACGCATTTACTGACAGCACGCAAAAACCATGATACCAGCACATGATTCACCTTTAGCTGCTTTAGCATTCAGTCCCCAAGGAACTAAGGTAAATCAAATATATTATATACATACATATATATAGAATTTTCTGATTCGAGTGGAACGAATATTAAATGTTAAATATGAACAGTACAACACTCAGATTTTTAGCAAATACTTTATTTAATAATTACAGACGTTTCAAGACCATGGTAAGCCTCATATTGACTAATTTCAAAACAGTAAAAATTATACACTAATACATCAAAATACTTGTTCTATCGTAACTATCATATTGTATCTATAAATATAGTTTTCAAAAAATTTCTGTATATATTCACATGTTTAGTACTGTGTCAAGCATTGTAAAAGATAGTTGGTGTTTTTTGTTTTTCAAAAATTAAATATAATTTAATAATGTATTATTATATAATTTTTACTGTTTTGGAATTACACTGAAGATATCATGATCTAAAACATCTGCAATTATTAAAATGTGTGCTAAAAATCTGAGTGTTGTATTGTTCATATTTAACATTTAATATATATATATATATATATATATATATATATATATATATTACTTGACTTTAATTAAATTATAATTGAATAATTATAATTATTTATCAGGTTGCAACAGCGAGTGAAAAGGGAACAGTTATTCGGGTGTTTAATGTGCAAGATGGAACAAGAATTTTTGAGTTTAGGAGAGGAGTCAAACGTTGTGTTTCAATCTCAAGTTTGGCATTCAGTGTATGTGGGACGTTTTTGTGTTGCAGTTCTAATACAGAAACTGTACATATTTTCAAGTTGGAAATTCCTAAAGACATGTATGTAGAAATTGCTTCTATGCTGTTTTTATTTTTGTTTAGTTCAAAACTTGAATAAATGATACCTTTTTTATGAACATTGTTTCTCTGTTATGATATCTGTTTATTAATTTGTGTTTAAATCAAATTGTAAATAAAATGTACCACTGAATCAATTATTGGTCATTTTTATACCTTATTAATATAATCTATAAACTTGTTTCATCAGTTTATAGCAATGTTTCTATAACAGTAGTATTCAACCAATATAAACTTGCATAAAAGCACATATCTTATACATCTAATTGATATTTCTTCATCTTAGCCCTAGACAAAATTCTGAGGATGGTGGTTGGATGGGTTACTTAACTAAAGCTGTTTCTGCAAGTGCCAACTACCTTCCATCCCAAGTAACCGATGTATTCAGTCAAGGTAGAGCTTTTGCTTCTGTCAGATTGCCTTTCCAAGGAGTCAAGAATGTTTGCGCTATTACTACGTACGTATATATTATAATTGTAATCATAAATTATTTTTTCATAAAACATCCCAATCCAATCGCAAATTCAAATTTTAAAAATCATTATTTTTGTAAATTTTTGACTGATATTTTTTTTACAATGGATAAAATACAATCTGTTAAAAATGACTTTGTATTTATATTCTGTTACCAAAATTAATATTATATTAACATTAGGATAGAACAACAGTGTTCTGCATTTGATATTCTGCAAAAATGCTTTAAGTTATTGTTTAAAAGCTAAGAAGTTATTCAAACAAAGGTATGTTGATCAAGATACACTACTATGTATTCCCTTTCAAATTGAAAAATTTGGTCATGTTGTTCAAAATGGGTAAAATATAAATAAAATGATTATTTTTAAATTAACTTTTTTAAACCAAAAATACCATATATATATATATATATATATATATATATATATATATATATATATCTGGCATCCCAGTGAATAAGTAGTTAACTCAAAGTTTGGCAAGAATGTCCTGAGTTGCAAAATTTACTATTCCTTCTAAATAATTATTAAATTGTTATTAATTATTAAAAATAAAATACTTTATATATAATTTAAACCTTTAGTTTTAAATATGCAATATTATATGAGTAATAAAACTTTGAAATCAAGCCTTGCAAAACAGTGAAAATTTACTTAACCACTTATTCACTGGGATGATAAATATATTCATCCAGAACTGGATTTCATAATATCCAAAATAAGTATTGTAGTAGTAGTATTTACAGTATTAGTTTTAGTGAAAAAAATTGATAAAGAATACCTGAATTATGATTATTAAAAAATTGAAAGAAGGGCAAAGAATCGAAAGCCATTCACTAATTTTTTTTTTAATTATGGCTTTAATTAATTAATAGATCTTAATTTTATTTCATTCTTGCAATATTTTACTAAACTTTATTTGGATTTTCATACAAGTACTATTAAAGTTGAAGACTATTTTCAATCATTTATACTATGATGATCTCTCTCTATTTCTTTCTATCTTTCTGTAGTCTTTTAGTAGTATTATTTACTCTCTATTTTTCACAATATACCAAAAATTTCGAGGATAGAAATTATATTCTTATCTACAGGGTTCAAAAGAACTTGAGACTCCTCGTGGCTACAGCTGATGGTTATTTGTATGTGTACAGTCTTAATACAATCGAGGGTGGAGAATGTGTTCTTCTCAAAACGCACAAATTATCTGGTCTTGATAGTGAACAAACCGACTGGATTGATGGCAAATCAAGTCAAACGATCCCAAGGGACATTATTTATAATAAAGGTAGGAACTGTTTTATTATTTTTACATTTTTCTGTTAGCATTTTTGTATTTTATTTTTGTTAATGTTATATTATTTCAAATTTATTGAGGTATATTTTTTTTAAATAACCAATCTTTTTTTTTTTAATTTTCTATACCATAGATATTAATTTTTATTTTTTTTTTCATTTTTTTTATTTGATTATATTGTTTATTTTAGTTTGACTTACTTTGTAGGTTTTATATGGAATAAATCTGATGTTATAAAAATGCTCACAATAATCAAGTCTGGTTATTACTATTTCTGGCAATTCTTTAGTTACCAGAAATGTAAAATTTAGATGCCAGTTTAGCTTATTATATATAAAAGTATTATACCATCAGATTATACTTTATAAAAACTACTTATTGTACAAAATTCTGTTATGATTTGTTGTTATTTGAAAAGTAATGTATTATTTACTGGTAGAAAACTTTATTTTTAAATACTAAACTTGCCAATATTAAAATTGGATTTATACTGAAATGGCTTGAATGAATAAAGTAACTCAAGCCAAGTATAGAAATCCAGACAATTTTTTACCATCTTTGTTGCATTCATTAGTTGATAAACATTAGGTGGTGTAAATTATTTGTTTGTTGCATTTAAAATGACATATCTGCATCCAAAATATATAATATTCGGAAAATTTAAGGTTTAATGATTTTTTAAAATAACTGCTTATGAATATGGTATAGAGAATATCATTAACAAAACTTACAAAATGCTAAATGAGTAAATTTATATATTTACTGAATGAGTATTTATAAATCATTGTTTAATTTCGTCTTGTTTTATTTAATTTTAACTGTTTCTATTTAATACTAAGACTAATTCGTCCAGTAAATGTAATCCGTAAATTTTTATTTATTAAGGTTGAATTTTTGCATTTTGACAATGTACAGGCCAGATTTTATAAAGCAAGAATTTCATGACACAAAGAGTAAGAGATGATTTAGTCTTACTGACAATAGGTTCATGCTTTAAATATGAAACATTTTTTTCACTTTTACTTGAATAATGAATAATATTTTAATTTGCACAACTTTACTAATATTCTAGGGTTTCAAATTTTATTTGTATTTTATTTCAATTGAAGGTTTGTGCATGTTCATCGTTCATGGCTATGTATCGATTTTGCTTTATTCTTGCAAGAGAGTATAATTCTTACAAATCACAATTTTTATGAATCCTGGAGCACTATTGTAGGCTACACTAGGGAATGCAATACCGATAGGAAAAATTCAGCACCGGTATTTCGGTATTTTTTAAAACCGATAACAAAATAGGAAGTTATTTGTACCAATAAAAAAAAACTAATATTAATAAAAAATATACTTATATGCTTCATATGCTACTGTTAACAAATATTATTTAAAAATTATGGTGGCTAAAGTATCGATACTACTCATTATCAGTATCGAGTATTTTGAGTACTGTTAGCCAAAATCAAATGTATGTGTAAGAAAGATCAAAAACTCTAAAACTAAAAGATTAAAAATAATAATCAATATATTAAACATATTAAAATAATATTTTAAAATTGATGAGTTTTTGTTTATTTCAAAAGATTAAATTACAATCTGTTTTTTAATAACAAAAATATTTAGTAATTATTATGATTAATACGTATAAAGTTAGTACAAAAATAAAGATTACCCAGTGGTAAGAATATTTATGATATAGGGAATATTTTGGCGCCGATGTCACTTTAAAAAACCGTTACATTTTTACATAAAAGGAAATAAGTATCATTTTTTATTAGTCCGATATTTATTGAGACATGATATGAAGCCCGTTGGAAAGCAATAAATATTCAGTTTAATGATGAGACGAGGTAATATTTTGATTTGACACATATAATAATAATTGATAATATTTGACACATGTTGATACAATAGTAAGACTTAAAGAATCATCTATTTAAGCAATTAGGAAACTTAAATATGGTTTCGAGAAATTTAAACTGGAGTGTAACATGTAAAAATGCTGAAAATACCGGTATTTTGAAGGCGATGATTTCGGTTTTTCGGTATACCGTTATTGCATTCCCTAGGCTATGCTATATAGCATTAAATTCTAATACGATGGATTGAACTTAAAATATCTTCCATTTTAAAGTTGTAACTTTATAGAAAGGTAACACAATACTACTTACTTCTCCAGAGAGAAATTGTTTGTAAAAATTATATATATATTTTATTTAATTTTTTTTGAATAATTTTTATTATAATAAAATTAACTTGCGTTCATATATGTCTTGCTCCGAATTATTTATTCAATATAACCAAGTCTAGTTTAGATAACATGCCAGTAAATTAACAAAAGCAAGTAATATGATTAATACTTTCTTCATAAAATAAAGCAAAATGTACGAATAAAATGAAAAATATACGAAAAAAGTCTATTTATTTCTATAAATAGTCTTTCCGAGATCTTGCGCAGTTAATAATTAAATCAGTTTTCAAAAACGATATTTTTTTCTTTTTATGTTTTGCGAACAAATTTTGTTATGCCGATCTCCTATCTCCAATCCACACTGAATCTGAATCGACCGTTGCGCTTAATACCATATTCTTGTTACGAACGAACGGACGCTCCCCAAAAAAAACCTACATTATCTCAAATTCGAAAATTGTGCCGAAAAATCGAAAACAAAAAAAAATGTTTGTCTCTTTTTTTGGGGTCCGATCTGTTTTTTCGATGTTGTCTGTTCCTCGCGAAACAGAAATGGCCGCCAGCCGTGGAGGAAGCTATGCGGGCGTACTCAAAGGCAGAGATCCTTCTCAAATGTCAGGTACTGGTTAGTATTTCATTACACAACATTGAAAATTACAAATCACAATTCACCTTCCTACATATTTAGGAATCGCTCAAGTATTATGTAAGCGTTTTGAAACATAGATAGAGAGGGAATATTTTCATTCAATTAATAAAGATTTGAAAATTTGCTCTCGATTTGAATAAAAGTTTAAGTCAAATTCCTTACGTTCACCTAATGCTGGGAGGGGGCATAAATTATATGCTTATATATATTTGAACGATTCCATAATCCTTATTTCAAAGAATTCCATTGAAGATCCCATTATAAAAATCGCACTAGGAAATTGTGCTTTATATCGCCAGGAAAACTACATATGCCAGGCTAATGGGTTGAAAATGAAGCAAACGGTGGTAGATAAATATTTTTGCAAGTTGTTAACGATGAGCTGTTACACTAAACTTGAATTTTTTGACTATTTTATTAGAGATTGAGAATATAATTTTTGTTTTGTGTTGGAAATCTTAATTTTTGATATTTTCAGCATAAATCAAAATTTTATTTCTCATTACTTCTCAAATTTGAAGTTTTATATATTAGTTCATGCTTAACAACATACATTTTAATTTGAAAATCATTCGTTTGAAAATTCTGTTTGATCCTAATAATATAAATATTTGGTCTTGTTTAAGTTGAGGAATGTACAGAGAGTGTGTGTTCGAAATTAATATCGTTAAATCTATAAAGAAAAAACCTAATTTGCAGATTTTTTCATTGATTGATGTTAAAGATTGATATATGGCTGTGTAATTGCTGTTTTTGTCTATTTTATTCAGTTAAAAATATTCGTTTTTATAATTGATATATTCTTATTGTGTTTAACCCTTTCGCTACGAGCTTAGCATATAGGCGACATCCGCATAACGACCTGTGTGTACGGGTGTCACCTATAGACGTCATCCAGCGTGTTAACCCTTTTTTAAGATTTAACACACAATTGTGAAATGTGTTTTTTAATTTTTAAATACGTTCTAATTGATACTGATAATTCAATCAAATGATTGGTTAATTAGTGGTGTAGTGGTGGTAATTGGAGTAACGCTACTGGGCGGCTCGCTGGCTCGTATAGCATTGTTTCTCCTGCGGAAGACTCTCCCGCAACGAAAGGGTTAATTAGATCGTGTGGAAAATATACATACTGTGAATTTTATGAAAACAAGCGCAACTGCTGTCCTTTTTTCCTAGAATCGATTGAAAATTTATAGAATATTACTGAAGTAAAAAGGCGCAGATCTAAACGACTTTACACCGGAACACAAAAATTTTTAATCTCGGCGGCATAATTATGTATTTCTACGTTTTGCGAATATGCCATGTCTTCTTTAGGAACTGTTAAAAACAAACAAAATTTGAATTATTTGAAATTATCATTAGAAAATTGAAAGAATTTACTTCTTTCTTTCAAAACCTCATATTGAAATTAAAAATTTTGATCAATAAAAAGTATCCTATTCTCATATTTTTTTTTATCTTACACAATTTTGAAAATGGAATATGTTCGGATGCATGAGTTACATACAAATAAGAAGTGCATTAAAAACATTGCATGATTCATAAATTTAAATCCATAATACTCAATTACTTCCGAGTTTTTGGTTTTAAAGATTAATATGTTGCTTACATATATAATAATCATTATATATGAAAAAAAGTGAAATTGAATGCGACATTGTTTTTATTTTATTTCACATGTACCTAAAATGTCGATCACTAAATGTTGAAAGAAGAAAAAGTACCGAAATGTACCAGCATGTAGTTTTCTTTACTGGTGCATTTTGAAATCAAAATCAAGAAAACTTTAGTCGATTTGTTCAGAGTACATTATAAGACATGCTCGATATTTTACTGAAAACTATACTTCGTTGATTTTTAACTACATACATTTATTAACATATAGTAGACGCTCCTTATTCGCGGGGGATACGCTTCATAAAAAAGCCGTGAATGAAAAATCCGTGAATATAGGATGGCAATTTATATGGGATGCGTTCCAAGGCGACAAATTAAAAAAAATGAATATATAAAAAAAATCACTTTTAATTGTAATGAATATTTTGACTATGTTCAAGCAAGGCAATGGTTTGAAGGTTTTTGTAATATTCTCTTGCTTGGCCGTTTTTAACAGCTTCTTCAATTCAAACTGATACTGAGGAGTCGCATCAGAAATTTGCCTTTTAAATGTTTAGAGCTCATAGTCCAGTCATTATTGTAAGTTCACCTCGGAATTCGAGATACCCAGGTGTAAATCTGTAAATACTTGTATATTGACACCTAAAAGTTGTCTCAAAACCAGCATATGTTGTGTACACCCTACCATATGTAAGTTTTGAGACAACTTTTAGGTGTCAATATACAAGTATTTATAGACTTGCAGCTGGGTACCTAATTTAAGCATCAATGACTGGACTATTTATTAGGTACACAGACAGATCAACATTCATAGAGAAATCGCACAGATCTATTGCCATTTTTAAAATCTTCTTTTAAAACCATTTTTTAAATCCAGTTGGTTTGAGTCAAATTTTACTATAGAACGGAACAACAACATCTAAAATATGTTTTATGAGTAATAAATAAGATTGTTTTCATTCTGTTTGTTAATATTCCCCAAAAACACCGATAGCTGTGAAGGCGGCTGATGTCAAAGTTTTTTTTATCATTTTAAAATGACGGCATTTAAAAAGGATATTGTGTTGGATATGTATTGGATTCCGCGAATATAGGAATTGGTCGCAATTCTTTGGCTGCGAATAAGGAACTCTATTATACTCTATAACTTTAAGACATTTCCAGAGACTATTTATTCGCACTGATAATGCATTTTTTCTAACACAACTAATGCTAATAAACAATTTTTAAGTGCAATGAATGAATGACTTTTTGGTTTATGTGTTTTACATACTATTAACCAAAATTACAATTCGAGTATTTTTTTTAAAAAGATTTCTCATATACATTATTAATTGATAGCATCTAATGTGGAAAGTTTCAATAACAATTTAAATATGATTTAAATCACTCAAAATTTTTACATACAATTATATAAAACGTGTCATTGCTTGTATTAATTCAAAGAAAAATATTAATAATTAATGTAAATTACTAACTGGCTTAAAAATTTATGCTTCTTGACCCTGATACAAAAATCTTATATGTTTCTATATTGAATATTATGGTGATTAGCACCATGTATAACCATTTAATATTATTTGGAATCATTTAATCGTATTCATATTTTTATATCAAAATATTTATTATATAGATTTCAATGTTAGTTATAAGTATGCTTATTTATTATATAATTTATCATTCTGATGGCAAGCCTTCTAGGATTATATTAATATATTTTATTATTTATATATATGGTAACTTGGTTCTTGTTGTGGAGAAATAACTTTTTGAGAATTAAATATTGCATTTAATTTGTCAAATCATACATGCAAATGATATTTATCGTTATTATATTCATCTAATGTATTCAGGATTTCAAAGCAACAATGGCTGGATAATATGTATTAAAACATTGAAATATTATTAATATTAATTTATTATTCAATGCCTTTTAGAATCTGAAAAGTTCAACGAAATGGCTGCAGCTACAGAATCACCTCCGAAGGGTGGTTTTCAATTTGACGATGATCAAGAGTTTCCTCCAGTGACCCATAAATCAGACTGACATTATTAAATTGCACCGCACATATATATATATATATATATATATATATATATATATATATAATATGTATATACATATATAAAATTCGAAATTCAAAATATTTGAAATATCTAATGAGCTATATAAATCTATAGCACATCTGAACTGTGAGTAATTTCTCATTTTTTTTTAGATCGATTTATAAATTTTATTTCTTAACTGGCTTATAAAATGATAAGACAGTGTTACAACAAATGAAGAAGCACTTAACATACATAATATATTATGTTAAGATTTTTTTTTTTTTACTGACCCCAGCAACTGGATGAATTTTAAGTGAAACTGTTACTTATATGCAGTGTGACAAAAATATTATTATGATGATGAATTATTTTTATTTATATGCATTTTCTAACGTGAAAAATTGGGCTTTCTCCATAAAGAAATGAAGTATAATTTTAAAGTGATAAGATTAAATAAATGATATTGTCTACAATTATTCATTGCATAAATAGATGCATGATAAATAATTAACATTAGATTATTTCATTTATAATCGAATTGTGTTGTGGCATTTGTTAGACTAAAAATGTGGATAGGGAAGGTTATCTTCAGAAACACTCAAAAAATATTAGCCTGTGGTAATTAAAATATTGTATATTGTTTTATTTATAATCTAGCAAATTATTTATAGACATTTACTTGACGTGTAAACGCAATTTATTTTTAAATTAATATGGTATATATTGATATCCAGAAATTTTAACGTGTGTGGAATCTCTCATATACTGAATTTTATTACTCAAAACAATGTCGCACTTGGTGTAAAAAATACAGCAATAAGAGGATATTTTAAAATATTTATTCGAAATTTTACCATTTTATACATGTATTATTACGATTTTATTGAAAATATTTATAGTTTTAATTGCATTTTATTGATAAGTTTTATTATGAGATAATACATTGAAATTTTAGATGATTTATAATATTACGAAAACTATTATGACTTAAATTACTCAAAGTTTGAATGATTCATTGGTCACTCAGCCCTATGTATTTTATCTAGTTTAATTTATGCTCAAAATAATAAAATATTGTAATACTGTTAAGATAGCCATTATTTCTTTTCTTTATGTAAATTTGAGTGAGTTTGTCATAAATTATTGATTAGACATCAGCAATGATTAAATATCATAAAAATTATGGATGCTATAAATGAAAGAAAGCAAAATATGATTGAAGCATATTTAAGTGAGCCGTCTGCAGGTCGCATTTTTGTAAATTAAATAACAATGATTTGGGCATATTTGTCTTTCTTTTCTCGATTAATTATTGTCAGATGTTTGTATTAATCAGACGCATTTTTGCTCACATTTTTGTAAATTAAATAACAATGATTTGGGCATATTTGTCTTTCTTTTCTCGATTAATTATTGTCAGATGTTTGTATTAATCAGACAACTATATTTTTTGCTCCAAAATGGAGGTCTGCCCATTCAGGTCTAGATTAAGTATACCAACTACAATTATGAACGTAAAAAATAATGACCAAAGGCAGTCTTTATATTTGAAAACTTTAGTTTAGGGCCTGTATGAGAATTATCTTTCTCCTAGCATATTGTTTATTTTCTCATAGACATATGAATAGTTTTATATAATTGTACCATGTACAAAGTGCATATTGTGATGAAGTAAATATTTGTAAAATAAATTTGTTTGAATTTCTGTAATAATTAGCTTTATCAACCATGTTCGGAATTAATTTGAATCTGAGTTAACATATTCGTTCGTTTTCAATGATGTGCAATAAATCCACTCGGAATACTTTTAATCACTCATAAATTAATTCATTTTTTATTGATTAAGTCGTTTATTTACACATATCGTGAATTTCATGTAACTTGCCTCAAGGCAAAATACCAATACCAACTAGTTTATTATACGGCCTCAAAAATCATTAAATTTAGTATTTGCTATTTCCGGCGGGAATTGAACCGACGAACCTAGAATGCCGACACCGTGTCCTCACCACCTCGGCGATTCGATTACTGACATTCTACGTTTTTAGAAAACTTACATATTTAACAGAAATTGATCTATGTTCTATGCAACCAATTGGCCGACAGCATATACAGTTTTTCAGATTTATCAAATATTAGTTCACAAAATTAAATTCAAGTGGAGCATTTCGACCTTGACACTTGACAATATATTTCGGAAAAAAACTCAAAATCAAAGGTTGACTGTAATAGATATAAAGAGATGACTAGGTAGGAAAAACAATGGAGTGAAACGACATGGGGAAAGAGAAAGGTAGAGGTAGGTGATGAATAAGAGACATATATGGGAAACTTTAAATTTATTAAAAAATTCATTGTTCATACAATATAAGAATATTAAATTAATGTTAATCTTCAAAGAACCCAATAGCCGACTGGTTAGTGAACGACTACTTCAGAAGATCGCATAGATCCTGGAAGCGCACGTGAGGCAGATTGAATCCCACACGAGGTGAGGTGACCAATTCGCAGACTGGACTTTGAAGCTGAAAAATAAGAGCAGTGATGGCTGTTGACAAACAGAAGAGGGGTGCTGAAAGTTACAACATAGACAGACAACTAACCTGAAGCTCGTGACCTGAAAACTATCCACGGAAGAGGCACATTCCATTCCACAAAGAAAACAACCACACCAGATGTAAAAAACCAAACACCAAGCAAAAAAACAAAAAATAACAAGAATAAAAGGAAAAACCATAAAAAACCTTAAGTCCAAAATGAAAAATGATCGTTGAAAGTTCATGATTGAAACTTTTTTATAAGTTCCACTGCTCCATCGCAAGAACTCCCAAAACCAACTCTCGAATGAAAAAAATTTAAACACAGCCCTACTTTAAAATTCTCACAACGAAAAGAATTTACAGGCGCACGTTTAAAAAATTTGATTAAATTTTTTAAATACGCTCCAAAAATTTTTTTTTCGTCATTATATTTTCGATGTGGCTCTTGCTTAAAAATTTTGATTCAAATGTCGGCTTCGAGATTTTATAACATAAAAATTTTGCTTGTTTTTCATAATCGAAAAGGTTTCAGTAAATATTGAGTAAAAAGAAATTAATCAAAAAAATTAATTAATAGATGGAATGATATTAATCAAATCAAATCAATAAAAATTAATCAAAAAAATCGAATCAACTTGATGGAACAAGTAAAATCTTTAAAATTAATTGAAACAGGAACATTTAATTGATTTGATACACCTCGGTACAAAGTGTTGATGAAATCGTAAACAATATTCAACAAAACTTGAAAAATAAAAAAAAGTCATAAAAAGCTCAAACTGTTATGCATTAGAAATTGAATGGAATTGAATAGAAAACTCTTTGAAACTTTAATCAAACTACATCAACTCGAATATTGATTACCAAATAATAATCTTAAATAACAAAACAACGTTATTAATATTTAGAAAATACATATAAAAGATACTGTCAAAGTAATTTTGGAATAAATAATGCAAAAATCAAAAACATATTTTAAAGCAAAAGTATTTGACCAATACAATATTCTGTACTTAAATAAAAAATCAATCGAGTTAATGTAGATTTTTTTAAAATCTATTTAAATATGAGGACACAATTAATTAATAGGTTGAGCAATTCTTTTAAAATATCAAGAACACAAAAGTTCAAAATATCTGTAAGAAATTCTAAACAAAACATAAAAGGTCATTTTATTTGATAGAACACTCGATTGCATACTAGTTTGTGAATTTATTATAAATAGATTTATTTCACTGCTCAACATATAAATTAAAAGAACCTTCAGTGACTACATGTCTTGATTAAAATGGTTCTTAGTGATTATCAATACAATTAACTAAAATTACCATAAAACGCATACATATTAAGATAAATTATAATTTAGAAGGTCAGTTTGACCACTCAAATATTTTGATCAAAACCGGCAATTTTTTGTAATTGATTAAAATACATCAACAACATAATGTGCATGCATTAAATATCACTATAGAGAAAGCACATGATTATTGATGCTAAAAATGTAATAAATTATTTGCCATAGATTAGTGATGAACATCCACACACTGAACAGGCTTTCGATAAAGCATTGCATTTCTTATATGAAATGCAATAATCCTTGCATCATGAGATACTTTTGCTGTGATATCAATCTGAACAGACATTCAATGTCTTTTTCATATTGATATCACAGCAAGAAAAAATCGAAAGCTTTTGCATATACGTCTGCTAAATTAGCTTGGTTTTAAGATAACTTATTCAAATAATACTTGACATAAATAAACACTGAATAAATTTAATTTCATGCATTACTAGAATTATAAAAACAATGAATTAATATAGTTAATTTATCAAATAATGTTAATAACATCATTAGCAACAATCAAATAATATTAATATATTGAATAGTAAGGATTCAACGCTCAGACATAAGCCTCGTTAGCACTAATATTACTATGTAATGGCCTTAAATAAATGAATGAGTAAAACTTATCTTGTATTAGCCACATGTGCATGAAAATAAATAATTCACAAGTCAGCAAACATTTCAATGAAATACATACCGGCCCATTTCATTTAGTAGAATTCCTTAATTATAAAAAATCGTTCGTTAAATCTTGAGTGCAAACAATGAGTGCTCGTATATGATTCCAGAGAAGTATTCTTTGACACTATACTATTTTATATGCATGAAAATCACTTACATTGAAGAAAACCCTCCAAAGCAGATACTAGAAGTCATAAACCTGGGCACTGATCACTACTTCACTTAGTCATAGTCACCACTTTGAACACTAGTTTAAAATACTTAGTTAATATATTACAATGGCCCAAATAGAGTCTTTACACAGCACACAACACGACACACATTTTAGAGACTTTTGTAAATGAATTCCCGGCATAATATCTGATAATGAAGTTACTCTGTGAAACTACTTATCGGCTTCAGAAGCATACATATATATGCAATATATATTTGGCAATTGACAATATGTGTATATAAACATGCAAAGGATCTTGTGGATTCTGTAAATATGGTATTTGATTATAAAATAATTATTCCTAGTTAAATAGTTATATATGTCACAATGCCGATAAATAACCTCAACAGGTATTTATTGTTTTTTGTGCACATTTTCATTTATTTTTCATACCAGATAGATCAAATTAATATCGATGCATAAATTAATCAAATTCAATTGAGAGTTTAAATAAAAAGTTATTTAATTATCGCCTTACCCCGAAAATAATGTTGAACCTCCAAAATCTTTTAAAAACTGTCAATAAAGATGGCCGAGGCTGTTCGTTCGCGCAAAAACATGCAATAACCAAGACCGCGAACTTCAAATCTAAAATGTGTGCAAAACTAATCTCACTTCACCCTAGACATTCATCATAATCAGTTCAAAATGTAAATTCAGGGTTGAATTTATCTCTTGTATTCTATCTTTTTCTTATTATTTTCTAAATATAAAGCATATATACTTAATGTGTAAATAAATTAATGTGCAAAAGTAAAAACTGAATACCCGAACTCCTGTTATACAATTTCTTATCAATAATTCTATTGTACTAATTAACACAATTTTCTGAGCATATTTGTTTCTTTATAGTTACAAAATTGGTTTGCAATATTATTGGTATTGCCATAATTTCACATTATTTTTCCTTTTCCTGTGTATCCAATATATGGAATGTACAAATATGACAAGACTTCAGAATATTATATTCTATATGAATTATGAAAAATACTTTTATTTTTACAATAAATGTTTCATTTCAACAGTAAAGATTGTTAAAAAATAGTTTATAACTTAATCATGTTTATTTTGAATGACAAAATACAAAATTGATCGCAGTATATAACTAATCTATCATCTAATAAATCAGCAACGAAATTTTATTTAACAGAGTAATATTATTATAATACCTATAGGTGTGTATTTACTAATAATATCTATAAAATTTAAGATTAATACTATCAAATAAACTAACAATAAGAACAAAATGCATATAAAATAATACTAATGTGGCCATTACATATGAAAGCTCATAAAGTTAAAATATCAATGCAACGACTTCTTATTCACGTTATGTTTTCTTTTATTCTTTTGTACCCACATTATTATTTAAATGACAAACACACACACACACATATATATATATATATATATATATATATATATATATATATATATATATATATTTACATTTATATACATTTATATATTCTGTAACAGTTCTTAAAAATATTGAGAAATCATAATAAGCTTTCATATGTAAATATCCAAAAATGTAAATACATCTATTAATTAACTAGTAATAACTTTAATCCAAAGACCTAGCATATAGCATATCTTTGCACATAAAAATATAAAGTTCATATTTCAATAATTAACAATATATATATATATATATATATATATATATATATATATATATGTTAATTAATAACTAAACAATAATTTCCAATATTTATTTAATGGTTTTGTATGCAAATTATACGGCATAATTATCACACCAAGAATTTTAATTTAATAATTCATAACATATTGCAATTGTCACATGTTGTAAGAGTAGTTTTTTGAAAAACGTCCCTACAAACAATTTGGAAGAATCAGATTTTAAATATAACATTATTTATGCTTTATATAGTTATCAAAAATATTTTGCATCTTATTTGTAATTTACTTTATATATAGACTTTCTAATATATCTTACACATTCACCTTTAAATATATTTCTTTATATTATATACAAAACAGATCAATTATCATCACAAATTTTACATAATGTAATAGAATGTTAATTCTTAAACATTAGAATATACATTTTTAAAAGTTTAAGGTGTTACAGACTTAATTCTAATATCTAATATACTTATTAACTTTATGTAGTACCAACAATCACAACAATGATTTTTGTTAATAGTTATTAACATTTTCACACCAAATTTTTATGGCAAATTAAAAGAATGCAGTATAATTTGTTTCTTTTCAATGGATGTTTTTCTAAATTATTTATTTTATATAATTATATATATATATATATATATATATATATATATATATATATATATATATATTATACATAAAATATACATATAACTAATTTATTCAAAAATCATATTGTACATTTTATATATTCTGTAGTATTTTGATTAAAAAGTACGATTCACTATGAATATAAACCAAGTGTTGTAGATATTAATTTAATTACAATACCTAATTACAGGTACTACATTTTTTATACAACAATTCTTCAAAATCTTACAAGTTGTAAGATTATTTTATTCAATAAAATATAAAAAATAATTATATCAAGTTATAAATATTTACACAGGTAAAACAATCAGTTATAATCTATACTATAGTACATTATCGTCGACTTCAGTATACTTTCAGTTTAATCACTCAGTTTTTTAATAGTTTAATATTTCATGCTTTGTTTTTATTAAATCATACTTATAGAAAATTTGTAATATGAAAATTATGTTTATAATCCATAATTAATTTAGTCTCTACGCTATGAAATAAAATAAATACAAAATAATCAAAAAGTCCTTGATTAATAAATATATTTATCTTAAGATACGGAAATTTGCTATATTATCGCCTCATAATGTCCTCTATACTAAAGCCAGTGCTTTTTCTTGAAGCAACAACTGGTTGAGGATCAGGCGGATCTTTTGAATTATTTGGCGGTAATCGAATCCCTGCTGGAATTGTCATTCCTGACGAGATCTGCAGGGGACCATCTTTATCAGCGGTCGTCGATGGTTGTAATATCAAACCACTTTGGTTCTTATGATAACTCACGCTCGGTATGACCGCAGGAACTTGTCTTCTTGGCATGCTCAAATTAGTAGGTACAGTGGACGATGTTGATGGTATAGGGTCATCGCCATGCAAAGAAAATGCCGGTCGCTTTCTGTACCCTGAAATAATTAAACTCGCACTGCTACTTGATACTTGATGATCGACCAATCCATGTTGAGAAATCGTAGAAGGCATATGTTTCCTCAAGAGATCTCTACGCACGTGCAGCATAGGAGAAGGTGGCATGACGGCAGGTTGTGTCTGGTGCGCCACTTCGGGTTGTTGTATAGTAGATGGTTGCGGCTGATGCTGGAGCTGGGATTCGCTGTGAATCGTAGGGCGCATTGTGTAATTGCTATCCTGGTGATGACAATGCGTGCGTTCGGCACGTCTGCGCTCTCGATCTTTAAGACGTTCTAGTTCCATTTGTTCTAAAGTATCACGTTCAGCAACTTCCGATTCTTCGTCATCGTCACCTTCCACCTCTAGATCAAGCGGTGCTGGTGAAGGAGGAGCGTCTTCCTCTCCTACATCTAAAACTTCAGCCGGAACATCGCCAACTGAGTGGGTTAGGGCATGTCTCCTCAAATCGCAATTTCTTCTAAATACTTTCCCGCATGCTGTACATTCATACGGTTTGTGATCTGTGTGCGTTAATAAATGGGTCTTTAAATTTGATCTCTGATTGAAACTTCTACTGCAAACTGGACATTTGTGAGGAGACTCCTCCATGTGTAATATTTTGTGAACCGCCAGCGTGCGCGATTGGCAGAAGCCTTTGCCGCATTCTGTGCACTTAAATGGTTTTTCCTTGGAATGAATATACCTGTTGATAGAAGATAGAGTTAAAAAAGATTGAATTAACAAAGAAAATTAATTATCATATATGTATAAGCAAAGATAATTGAGAATTAAATTCTTAGGTCAGAACAAGCATACAAAGATGAATAAAACAAAAACAATTCTATCTTAATCCTAAAATACAGTTATATTTTTTTCAAAAATCATATTATCACAGTATATCAGAGTATTTTCGAAATAAAGGTTAATAAATAGTACACATTGTATATATTGCAAGTGTAGTATATGTATTTATGTAGAAATATGTATATAATATGTACTCGTAAATAAATACCATACCACTACAAATATTAGTATGTATTTCGAAGTCAAATCTAAAAACTGCTTTATATTTGAAATGTTGCCAAGATTTGAATAAATATCAAATTAAATTTAAGTCGATTCAAAAAAGTATTATTTTTTTATTTAACGTTAAAGATTGACCAAAAAAATATATTTTTAAACATGCATTTAACTACATAAATACCCTTTAGATTATTTTACAAAAGTAAGTTAAATATAAGAGATCAAAGTGATTTGAAAATAATAATGTATTGTTATTCAGCTATACGGATATTGAAAAATTGATCATAAACAAAATGACTAAAACATACAATAAAAAATTTACTACATAAAGGTATAAAATATGTTCGCTAAATGCTGAAAAAAATATTAAAAAAATAAATGTATTAAAATAAAAACAACCACTGGTAAATAGGTACAAAAACTTATATCGACACTAATGATGAAATACTGACGAATACGAAGTATTAATTTAATTTGATTCTCAAAATATATTCGGTGGCCCCTGATTATGCATGCACCGACCGCGCAGCTGGATGCCAAAGCAGCAAAAAAACGCAAGTTTGTTTTCGGCTAATAAAAATTGTAAAGTGTTAAATTTCGTGTACCAGTAGGAGAATACTTGAGATTATTCGCCACCTACACTCGCTGATCATTTGAAGATGGAAACGAGGTGAATTTTGCTACTGTTTCAGGTGATTTGCGCAATCATCGGCACTTATCGGCCGTGGTAAAATCATTTTATTTTTTGTTTGATAAAACGTCCACATTGGTAAACTTGATAGCAGTTTATGTAAACTTATGTTAAGACAAATAGAATTATTATGAATGCCAGGACTTAAGTACATATTGCGCTAATAAACTACCCGGTCACCCGAATCATTATTGAAATGACTTGAAAAAAATATATATTTACGCTAATATTTTCGTAAATTAAGATCTTATGATCAATTCATTAAAACCTTCCTATGAGCTTCAAAGCATCTAAAACAGAATAGTCTCATTATTCTCATTTATTCAAGCCGAATAAATCACTGTATATTTGCGACTCTGAATATTAAAGAATACTCGATAATGAGTATAATTTGTACATGTATTAAAAAACATATTTAACGATTTTATTTGTTGCTTGAATTAATATGATTTTCATATTTATGTCATAATTCTAATGAATCTCTTGAATAATAATCAATTCATTGAAGAAAAATTATCACAATATTATAATAAGACATGAAGAACTAATATTCTTATGAAACATTAGTATATTGCGTAAAATATTGAAAAAATAAATACTATTATTGACCTCATTGTTTTTTAATTAAAGAATATATGAGTGATTGTGAATATTGATTTAATATTCACAATCGTAATAAGCTGTAAAATATTTGATTTAATACAATGTAAGTAGTGTAACATATAAATATTAAAAAAACTTTTTTAACGATTAAATTTTGAAAATAATTTTCATAATTATGTAATACAATTCTAATTCATATTTTGAATAACGATCAATTTGTAGAAGAGAAATCATCACAATGTCAAAAAAAGTAAAATGGTCTACTATTATTATCTTGAAAACGAGTAAAGATCAGAATTTTTTAACAATAATATTTTAAAGTAGAAGGCAAAGAATGTATAACAAGCCATCGCTTTAATTCTTACAAAGTCGCCATCAAAAGATAAACGGCCATGTATGAATATTCCTAGCAAAAGTATTTATTTCGTTGGTAGTTTGTTTGGTTTTGAGCTATTTTATTTAGTTTATAATACCCGAATAAAAATTTTAAGTACACGTTATTTAATTGTTTTATTAAGATGTTGATATTGTTATTTTTGAGTTAGACTCATCAGAACGATAAGAAAATAGAGACTAAAAACGTAAAATAAGTTAAGAGTCACAACTAGTGTAAAATTTTGAAAAAATCGATTTTTGTTTTTTTTCATAATTCGATAGATTACACCTTTAAAAATAACATATTAAAAATTCAAATCGATATCACTAATAGTTTTTTAGTTACAGCCATTTAAAAAGTATACATACAGTATATAGTACAACGATCATTTAATCTTTAAACGCGTTTTTCTCGAAACAGCATTTTCCGAATTTGTTGCAGTGATTACTCAAAAACGAATGATCCAATCACTATCAAATTTTTTTTACATGTTCTGTATATAGTTCTCCGTAAAATAAACTAACGATTTTTTGATCGGATCAAAAATCGAAATTTGGCAGTCGAAAAACGACCAAAATTTTGAGTAAAATTCGACTTTTTTTTAAAAACGCCGCCATTTTGTCAATTGTTGATTTATTTTTTTTATCGTAGTTCATTTTACAGACAATATTATCTAGTTTAACGAGATTTTTTTTTTTTTTTTGATTTCATTCACGTAGAAGGCCGGAATCACTGCAGCAGTTAAGGGCCTTTTTTTGTCGCGCCGTTGGAAATCGACGATAACTTAAAAACTATTTATTTTTTTCCTTCAAAAATTTTACTATGTATTCTTAAAGCATGTATAAATATATTTCTAAAATTTTGAAATGATTGATAAAGTAGTTTTTTTAATATAAATTCCCAAAAATCACCTTTTTTTTAAGCGGTTACTCTAGTTGTGCCCCTTAAAAAGAGCAATTTATATAAGATATATAAAATTAATAGTTATTCCAACGATGAATTTTTCGGGTGAAATACCAGATCAAGGTTATATACAGTGTGTTCTTTGTAAACAAAAAATTGCGCAAAAAATTTGTATTTGGCATTTGGTGGATAATGTAAATGTCGTAAAATCCCTTTAAAATTAATAATAAGTCATTGTATCTGTTTGCTCCCTGGATGTCTCTTTTTAACCCGCCTTATGGGACATAATTTTTCAATATACAAAATTTTCATCTACATATAAAATTAATACTAAATCGACGATTTCAAAAATGATGAAAAAGCATAAATTATTATTACTCTAGAGCCGGACGGATTTCAAATTTCGATCCGTTTATGAATGTTATTCAAGTAATATCTGTCCATGAGGCGGATGATTAAGAGCAGGTCGTTTTGAGAGCGGCCCGGTTCTGGCTTTGACGAATAGAAGATCAGTTCAGAATTTGGAGACATTGACACAGCACTCTCATACTTATTCCAACCTGTCGAACGGGTTCTCGTCGAGATCATTTACATTAGGAATTCTAAGAGGCAGCGCACAGAACACACAAAAGCGAGCGCACGTTAAATAAATAATGGACACGAGGAACTCAACTGGGGACGCGGCGGACGGCCACTCGATACCAGCAGCCAGCAGCCCGTCGATGATTCAAGACAATTATATTGCCATAAGACGAATTTAAAATATTATTATATCGAAAACAAATGAGCGAATATATACATTATGATGTTTAGTGATATTGCCTCAATACGTGTTATGTATGCTCGCATCTGTTGGTCGATGGTTGGTCATTTATTTGAATTTCAGTAGGGCAGCTTGGGGTTTATTACAGTCTTTTTTTTAATTTATATATCTTAAAATCCACTGATTATTTTTCTACGAAATTAAGATGGATGGTTGCTGCAACTATTCCTTTACCTAATCAAGTAAAAGTAATTCCACAACTGTCGTTCATTATTTCACAATTAATCATTTTCTAATACAGTGCGGTATTAGAATTAACCCCGTGTTTGGGGCTAGTTGTGACATCAACTAAGTCAAGTAGTAACAACAAAAAACTACAAAAATGATAATTATTAACCACTGATAATTTATTCTTTACTTATTTTTAAGAAGAATGACTTATTTCTAATTATTTAATTTTCTATATTTTTCTCTATTTTTATCTTCGAAAATAATATTATAAATATTATTGTACAATTTAGTAACACCAATAGCTATTAAACAACTGAAATTGCTTTCTATTTTATGTTTAACACAATGGAAATTCATTACTGCAAGAGCTTTTGAAGCTAATTACAAAAGTACGGATTGAAATTACTAAAGTTGGTTTTATTATATCCAAAGGAATTAATCATAATAATGTACAAAACATAAAAGTGCACATGTTTAAGACAAGTGTATATATATATATATATATATATATATATATATATATATATGTATGTATGTATGTATATATATATATATATATATACATATATTAGGGTGGTCCTTAATATGGACATTTTCAAATTTCGTATGGAAATTGCATGGAAAAAAATTTGAAAGCTAAAAAAAATATTTTTTAGGTATAACTTAGCAACAAATGAATTAAAAGTGAAAACTCGTGTCATTTTTTATTGAACATTCGACCTTCTGCAAAATTTTTGAAATTTTTTTCATGCTATTTCCATACAAATCTTTGATTGAATTGCGCTCTATCTAGAAGACAATATTAAGAGCTATAACTTTTAAAAATTGTTTTTTATCAATTTGGAACCATTGGAGCCCTTGGGAGCAACGAAATTCGAAAATGTCCATGTTAAGGACCAACCTAATATTTATATATATATATATATATATATATATATTTCAGAATTACTGCCGATACAAATCATTTTTAAATGGAATATAAAAAAATATAGATAAGTTCACGTATGTCACGTTTTCTTGCTTTGTTTACTTTGGTATTAGAATTAATTAATAAAAGAGCAAATAATGTAAGTGATGCAATCTGATTTTTTTTTGTTAAATACTGATAAAACA